TATATGTTTGGGTTTTTTTCTATGGGTCAGTACACTTTACATATTGCTGTCTGATCTCACTGAATAAGTCCCCATACCTGAATATTAATTTACTCCAAACACCTAGCATAGAAATGCAATAAATATTCTACATTCTTGAAGGTTAATTGAAAAGAATTGAGTTTGTACCAATTTATAAACATGTCTACTGGACATTAAACAAGAACAAGACAAGGATCCTTCTTCTGATGCTGAGCACAGACCTGCATTTTACAATTTAAACACTAGATGGAAACATAAGATTATGTTCATGAACTGGACTTTAGGATCGTAGTAGACAGACTGGTGGAGCAACCTTTGTGCATTCAATTAGTATTACATTTCTAAAGTCATTCTTAATACCTATTGATAATTTTTACAAACACCTTTTTATAATTCAGCAGCAGTATCCGCATGTCGATTCAAATTTTTTTAGCTTGTGGCTCCTATCCAGTGTGTTGGATGTTCAGCACCCTAATTACAGTACATATCTTATTAATCATTACACCACATTGACCAGAGCATCGGAATGTGAATAAAAGGGGTACACCTCTGTCTGCTTATAGAACTTATCCACCTCCAAGAAAAATCATTTAAAGCACAAGAAGTACATTTGTCCTGTTTACCCAAAATTACAAAAATGTACAAAAATTTTTGTAAGAGCAAAATTAAAAGACCATAATACTGCCCACTATTAAAAAAAAAAAAATGTTAACAGTGGGTTTTTTTTTCAGATTCCTGTGGCTTCCACTTCTCACCAACAGAAAATATTGATGATTTCCTCCCACCGCCTCCTGATCTTGATTGTGCAATAACAGATACATGTTGGCCCAAAGTAAATGGTAAGGGATACACCAAACATCAACTCTGTATACATCCCAGTTACACATATGTGATTCCGGATTGATAGATAGATAGATAGATAGATAGATAGATAGATAGATAGATAGATAGATAGATAGAGATATGTTGCCAGAATTCAGCTCCAGTCCTGGGTTTAGTTTTAAACTAGGGCATGGCCTCAGCACTCGCACAGGGCTTTTCTATAAACCAAAAGTCTTTATTTTTACTCTTCCGGCAGCTTACAGGTTAAAAAAACACATATAAAGGCTTAACTTCAGCGTACAGTATAACACAAAGTAAAGTTCAATTATCTTCAGCAAATAGGGGAGATCGTCTCACCAACTCAAGGTTGTCCCGTTCACTCAAAGGATCCCAGGACTTTAACCTTTGCCTCAACAAAACTCCTTAGTGGCACTTCATACCCTTTAGCCACTTCTAGCAGCTTTCCACACATCTAGTATGCCTGGCTATCCCAGTCTGTCTAATCCTCCAGCCTCCCTGGCTGTTCCTGGTGTGGCTCCACCACACCACCTGGCTTGGCCCTCGTGTGCCTCCAGCACACATCACGCCGCCTCTCCTCTGAGCTCTGGTCTTGCTTCTTAATGAGGCTGCTCTCAGCCACCTGATCAGCCCAGACTGGTCGTTGGCAACACCTGGCCCTAGGACTGGAGATTTCATCCGACCCAAAGCTCTAAGTGAGCTCCAGATCCCAGCTACAATAAGGAAAACCCAGGAGAATCTGAAAAGCCAGGTTTTTCCTTATAAAATGGTTTACAGTATGGACCCTCTCATCCCCTCCGGCTGAGAGTCCTGGGAGCCAAATTTGCCATACTACACCGTGGCATTGCCATGTACTGCCACAATAGATAGATAGATCATGGCCTCAACTGGCTATCTATGTTCTTCAGGTGTTTTTCCAGCCTACCTCCTAACTTTTTTAGATAGATAGATAGATAGATAGATAGATAGATAGATAGATAGATAGATAGATAGATAGATAGATAAAATAAGATGCCATAGCTCCCAACTGTCCCTTTTACAACCCCTCTGCCCCCCTGCTCATTGTAGTCTGATGTATAGTCCTCTAAACCTTTTTTATCCGCCCACTAAACAATTGCATTTGTTATTTTGAAAATCCATCATAAAGAAAAAGTAATGGTGAAAACAAGATCACAAGGGTTCAACTCTTCATTTTTTGGGGTATTATTTGGCCATGGATAGACTGCATAATCAAGAGTGTGGTACGGACTGTGTGCCCTCTGCCCACATACTTCATGCTAAAATTTGTACCCATTGTCTTTTAGAAAGTTGGTAGGTATGCTACCTGTCCAACAAATTGCACACCCACATCAACAACTGATGCTTCATACAGTTTTAGGAATCTGAAATATCAGAATTTAATACGCATTTCCCAGCAAACCAAAGGTCCACCGTGTCCTAATAAGCGCTCTCCCTATTCCTGGTATGTCATGGCTGATACAAGACACAACATAGCCACAACAGAGGTTGGGTTTAGGAACTGCCATCCATAGTTTCTAGGGCAGGAAGGACGGATAATAAATCTGACTTATTGTGTACCATAAGATTATTTATAATTAAAGCAGAATTCCAGACAAAAATAACAAAATTAAAATAGATAACCCATTAGGAGATTAAATAACAAAACCAGCTTTTGCTGCAATATTCAGCTTCTATCCAGAGATTTCCATGCAGTACTTTTTTCTGCCACTAGAAGCCCCCAGTCTGATGGCCACCATCATTCAACCCACTTCCTCTAAGCCAAGGGCCTGTGAGTGGACAGTGAAAGGAGAAACAGCACAGTGATGAACTCATCTCTCTGTAACTCTGCTCTCTCACCCCATCATGCTTTTTATCAGCACATGAACTGATTGCCTGATTTTGCTGCTTCTTCCTCTCACTCTCCAGCCTTGCTATACATGAGCTACAAAAAGTTGATACCTGGTTTAAGTATTTTCTATGACCATGTATTGTCACTGAGCAACACAATTCCTAATTTTACAGGGTCTCAGTTGTCCAGCTACATATCTGCAGATGATTTTTTGCCACCACCCCCTGCCATTGGGTATGAAATAACAGATTCCTATTGGTCACCTGGAAATGGTATGTTGGATTTGTGTAACTGATCTTGTGTATCGTAAATGTTATTTAAAAGGATTAGAGGTCTGGCCACCGTGTGATACAGTAAAGGAAAACAGCCTGCACTAGATGTAGGTTGTTTGGGGAAACACAAAACATTGCTTCCCTTAAAGCCCAGTGGAAGCCTTAGGTTGTGTGTGTTTTGCACTGTAAAAGCTGTTCTGTGTCTGCAGCACACTGGAGAGCCAGACGGCTGCTCTCACACAAAGTCTGGCTCTCCAGTGGTCCCCCCCTGCACAGAGCTCCAATCAACAATGCTGCTCAGTGCAAATCCATTTCATGTCTAAGTAAGATGGGCAGCACAGTGGTGTAGTGGTTAGTGTTTGAAAGGTCCCCAATTCAAATCCCGGTCAGGACACTATCTGCACGGAGTTTGCATGTTCTCCTTGTGCTTGCATGGGTTTCCTCCAGGTACTGGACATGCTGGTAGGCTAATTGGCTCCTGTCTAAATTGGCCCTTTATGTATGTATGCGTGTAAGATAGGGACCTTAGATTGTAAGCTCCTTGAAGGCAGGGACTGATGTGAATGTGCATTATGTAAAGCGTTGTGTGAATTGTTGGTGCTATATAAATACTTACATAATAAGAGCTTACATTCTAAAGGGAGGGGCAAGTGATACAACAGGTGGTAGCTGTGTGAGGATGAATTGTTTGAGAAAGTGATAGTTCAGTGGTTAGGTTGAGGTGGGATTGGCTTCCCTGAAGAGATGCCCGAAGGCAGACAGAATAGGAGGTAGTCGGACAGGTTGGGGTAGGGAGAGACTCTAGTGCTGGAGGCACTGGAGGCAAGCATTGGAGGAGTTGACAAGGGAACTAGAGAGAGAGCAGAAGGTCTTGGGAGGATCGGAGGGGACGGTTAGGAGTTAGAGTTGTGGAAGGCTTTGTAAGTGGTTAACATTTAAAATTTTATCTTTTGGGTACTGCAGAAGGGAGGCGGATTGCAGGGAGCTAAAGTGGACCAGGGCACTGAACGTCAACTTGGTGTCATAGTCTACATTGGAGACATAAAGTGGGTCATCTGGGTGCTAATGTACATACAGCACAGACAGTTCTCTTGCATTGATCGGGTCCTATCAGTAGATAATTATTATCAATGTTCCATTGCGTGTTGCTGTTTATAAGCAGCCAGCCTGACTATATCTCTGTTTATTGTACAGCTCCTGATGTCCCAGCATGGCCTCCTTCCCTGGATGAACTCCCGCCTCCTCCAGACTGCTAGACGCAGCGATATCTCAGAATTACCACGGGAGGGGGGCGCAGAGGGCAGGCGGCATTCTCCTTTCTCTTTTTTCCTGCACCAAGCACATTTCAAGACTTTGAAGTTTTCCCGACTACAATGGAAATAGAAAAATGATGAACTGGCAGACAGGATCTGAGACAAACCGTTGGCCTAATTCTTCAGTGTTTTCCTTGTTTCATATCATAACCCTGAGGCCCTTATCGGCCACTGGGACAGAGCCGTTCTTATGGGCTGGATGGGTATCAACCTGCTGTCCCTCAAAGTTTTTTTTATTTAAGATTCACCATTTTATCTTATTATGTGTCAATTAATAGAGAAACTGTCACCAACGTAAAACAAATGCAGATAAAGGCACAAAAATGTCAAGTGTTTTTTTTTATCATCTTGCAATGAGCCTTTGATTTGCTTGCTAGAAAATTTGACTACTCCAGTATGAGACGATTCTTTAGCATCCCTCCTTGCACGTCATTGCCTTCTCCTGTTCTGGGAGTGTCTAATTACTGTCTGTGTTGGCCCAGCTTCCCAGCCCTCTCCCTACATGACCTGTTTTGTATTATATAGCAGCCGGAGTAGGATAGTGTCACTTAAATGACAGCTGTCAGAGTCTGCTGGTGCTGCTGACATCCCCCAGTAGCAATCTCAGGCACAAGGGAGGCCTTTACAGGGAAATAACCTGCACAAAATGCATTCATTGCACAGATAGTCCTATGTTGGACAGGGTCTCGTTAACAAAAACACATTAAATTATTTTTTAACATAAAGGCCCATCTCTGGGCAAACCAAAAAATTACCCTTGCACTGGGGCTACCCCTGCATTGTTTATGAGTATAGTATTGGAGTAACTTACCTGATCCCCACTCCCCTGGTCCCCCTCTGCTCCGGCTGGTAAAATGTCCCTCAACATCCTTATGTCTAATGCAGGTCCAAGGATTCTGCATTAGACATGATGTTGTCACTGTCCCCCTCAGCTCCGAGTATGGATCTGCATAAGATGTGATGATGTCAGCGGTCATTAGACAGCCAGGGCACAGCCCCTAGACAAAAATCAGCACTTAACCTACACTGTAGCCAGAGCCGGATTTACTCCCTCTGCTGCCCCAAGACCAGGTTCCTCATTGCGCTCTTCAATTCTTCAAATTAAAATAGCCAGTAGCAGTTTGGCTATTGCTCCGAGCTGCTTACATTCACCTGTCGCCTGCGGAAGCTATCCGGCAGGAGAATGGAGCCACGCCGGAGGGGGGCTTGGGGGGTGCAAGTAGCTGGTCTTGCCTAGGATGCAAAATAGTCTAGCACCGACCCTGTCCGCCGAGATCCCATGCTGGCTTCTCAAGCAGTCTTCAATTCGGCTCACATGATCGCAGTGACAAGTGGGAAGGGAGGGCAGAGGGAGTTGAGCTGCTGTGTCACTGCTGAAAGAGGAGAACACGTGGGTCTGGGATGCCTAGTCACCACTGGCAGGGGATAGCAGCAGAAGCTTAGTTTCTGTATGACTACTGGGAGGGGAAAGCATGAGAAGCTGATCTTCTGTATCACTACTGGGAGGGGGAAGCAGGGGAAGCTGAGCTATTATTTCCATTCAGTTTGCTCAGACTGATAATTATGCTCTGTAGAAGAGGAACAACAAATATAAGCTAATGCACGAGACTACTAAGCAGGAAGCACAGCTTGCATATATAATAAGGGAATAAGGCTGCCCCCCTGTAACTTTATTAACCTCTTCCTGGTGTTAGGACGTGCCATGCCGTCCTGGAAAGCATGGGCTTTAAAGACGTTAGGACGGCATGCAACGTCCTAGCTTCTAAGCCCTTCTGTTCATCCCCTCCTCTGCCCCCGTTATATTTACCCGCCAGGATCACGTGCGGGGACTTCCCTGGCTTCTCAGGTCGTCTTCAATTCGACTCACATGATCACAGTGACAAGCAGTCGCTGCAATCAATGATACATTCAAATCATTGGCTGTCAGCGCTGCCCAGGGCTGGATTTCCCACAAGGCCAACCGGGGCCCGGCCTTGGAGCAGCAGGGAGTAGAGGGACGGCAGGGGTGTCCGATTCCAATCTCCCGATGCCTGGGACATGCAGTCCCGGGCGCCGGACGGGCAGTTGTTTTCTTTATTTAGCCCTGCTTTGGGCAAGCATAGCTAAGTGTAGAGCGGGGAAGCCGCCGCCTGTTCTGTACAAGTGATCCCTGCGATGTCACCGAGATCACTTGCATGCAGCATGCATAAAGGGGGGCGCCTTGAGGAACCTGGCATTGGGGCAGCAGAGAGAGTAAATCCGGCCCTGGCGCTGCCTCTGCTTTTCTCTCTCCTCAGTGTGGATCTGGTGAGAGAAGTAGTCCCAGTGATAGTAAGTGTCCCAAAAGTAATAAAAAAAGAGAAAAATCTTTATTCGAAAAAAGAAAAGAAAAATTAACCCCTTCACCCCTTCATTGCTGATCACAGTTTTATAACTCTGATCACTCTGATCAGAACAATAGCACTGTCCAGGATTGTTGTGGGTTTTTCTTTTTTTGTTTTTTTTTCGTTAATTGTACCCATGTTTAATCATTTTATTTTTGTAAATATTAACCCTTTCAGCACTGATGACTGTTTTTGCATTTCTTAAATTATAATTTTATCCTTTGTTAGTTTTATCTGTAAAAAAATAGGTCAAGGCAACCGGACTTCCTGTATTTTTCTGTATTTTACAGCAAGTCCAGTTGCCTTGACTTATTTTTTACAGTTATACTATGACCTGGATGAATGAGAACCTTCGCAGACACTATGTTAGTTTTACCTATTTTTAATTCTTTTATTTAATCATTTTTTAAAAATGAACCCCATTCAGCGCTGACATTGTAGAATACAATTATGGGTGTTTTATTGCAGTACAACGTATCAGTATTATGACGTTCCCAATCAAATGTGTGTGTGCCTGTTTGGAAAAAATGAAACTGTCTTCATTTGTTATAATTGGTTAGATTTTATTCAGAAATAATCACAGTTCATTTATAAATATTTGATGTCAAATTCCCTATTTGTCCTCTAAAAAACAATATATAATACATGTGGGTGCACTTCATGTGAAAGAGTTAAATTAGGAACAGACATATAGCTCAACTTCTATGTCTTGTGTACGTTGGGAACTTGGACAATCCACTCCGCCCTTAAGGGTTAACATAAACTGTACCTCGAAAAAATAAACTTTCATTTAAAAATTGATAGTACGCATTCATCTTTAGGTCTAAAAATCGGACCTCTGCGTAAAGGCTTCTCTAGCTCATCCCAAAGATATATACAGTATACATATATTTATATATATATTGTTTACCTCCGAAGGAGCCGCCAGAATAACCCGGATCATCACTAGTTGTCTAGGGGTTTTTGGTCTTCAGCTGCCCCATTAACATCAACCACCCTCTCCTAGTGCCCACAAAGCTGATATCCACTCCAGAAGTATAATGCTAAATCTTTTTTATTAACATCTTCACACTGGTAAGAGAGGGTACAGGGGTCCTAGACATCCAGAGTGGTACAGACATAAACTCCAGACTGGCAATCCGATGGACGTGTCTGGGTTTGGCGGTTGCCAGGAGAACGGTACTTGCCTGACTGCATTGTGCCAAGTGTAAAGTTTGGTGGAGGGGGGATTATGGTGTAGGGCTGTTTTCCAGGTGTTGGGCTTGGCCCCTTAGTTCCAGTGAAGGGAACTCTTAAGGCATCAGCATACCAAGACATTTTGAACACTTTCATGCTCCCAACTTTGTGGGAACAGTTTGAGGATGGCCCCTTCCTGTTCCAACATGACTGCGCACCAGTCCACAAAGCAAGGTCCATAAAGACATGGATGAGCGAGTTTGGGGTGGAGGAACTTGACTGGCCTGCACAGAGTCCTAAACCTCAACCCAATAGAACACCTTTGGGATGAATTAGAGCAGAGACTGCGAGCCCGGCCTTCTCCTCCAACATCAGTACTTGACCTCACAAATGTGCTTCTGGAAGAATGTTCAAGCATTCCCATAGGCACAATCCTAAACCTTGTGGTTGACTTCCCAGAAGAGGTGAAGCTGTTATAGCTGCAAAGGGTGGGCCAACTCAATATTGAACCCTATGGACTAAGACTGGGATGCCATTAAAGTTCATGTCTGTGTAAAGGCAGGCGCCCCAATACTTTTGGCAATATAGTATATATGTAAATAAATAGGTAGTGATTTTCAGTAACTACATATGCATATAAAGACATAAATCAAGGTAACAGGAGCTCCTAAGGATACCCTGGGAAAGCAGGTTCAGCTAGCCCAACCACTGCATGAACTAGGCATGTTCTATTCAAAGCATGAGCCAAGAATGCTAGGGAAGTGTTGAATAACGATGAGAGGAGACCACGTGTTGATTTGGAACGCAGACATTTACACAAGACTCAAGGTGTTATATCAGAGCTGAGTACAGCCAGAGGCACTGAATCCAGATGCATTGTGTAACTGACACAATTCGTTATGTATTCATTTAAAACGCTGAGATGGGCAGCTTTACTTTCAGTGTATCTCCTGATGCCTAGTCTAATTTTGGATCTCCTACATCTTTCCGGGTCACTGATACCTCTATTTATGTTCAGAGAGAAAAACACAGCTATGCTCTATTCACATTTAAACTGATGAGTTAAGATAACCCCAGTGTAAATAAAAATCAGTTTTGTGAGTCTTTATGGCTAAAGTTAACCTTTTCATTTCCCAATAATGGACACATAGGGTTACCTTCATACTGTTCTCCATCAGCTGTTTCTGATGTACTTCTCCTTCCCCTAAAACATGAAGATTAAATTGACTCTTTTTAAGTAAAAACATAACCCAAAGAGGTCCTGTATGGGAAAAGGCTTTGTATGTATCTTTTTCGGTTGATACTTGTTGAATCTGCACTCTTTAAGCAAGGGTACCTGAAAACTCAAGCGGGGGCCATATTGAGTGGGGCACGTGAGATTAATAACGTGCTGGATTACTGAGATCCTAGTTAATTTTATTACTTCATTGCTGTGATGTATGTGTATAGGGCAATGCCGCGGCTGGCGCTCATGCAGAAGAGCTTTCTTGGCCAAACCTCTTAGTTCTAACTAAACCGGAAGTCAGGCAGTTGGAGAACTTGATAAGTGGA